ATAAATGTACTGATCACAGTAAAGGGAGCTGCGATCAGTACTGAAAGGGTTATTTTTAAGTTATGAAAAAAATTAACCCTTAAAAAAAAAAAGTCAGCCTGATCAGAGAGCCCTCTGATCACAGTGATCACTGATATAGTACCGTACAGCAGATATACTGTACAGTACAGTGATCACGGCAGCGGGGAAAGGGTAATGGAGATTTGGGTTGCTGCAACTGACACAAAGGGTCAAAAAAAATGAGAAATTATTTTTTTTGACCCCAATTTTTTTTTAAATAAAGTACAAAAGTACTTGATGCCCTATTCAGCTGATGACAGTAATAAACTGTGATCATTGCTGAAAGGGTTAAATAAAAAATATTTTTTTAAAACTTTTATAAAGTAATAAAACTTTTTTTTTTTTCACAGGAGCTCTAAAGATGTCTCTGCCTCTCTCTCTCAGATCGAAGTGAGGTGAGGAGAGGGGCAGAGACAAAGTGTCAGCCAGTGACCTGAGGTCATTGGCTGACACATAGTAATAGTGATCACAGTGACTGGCTGTCACTGTGATCACCTACTGCAGATTGGTTATTTGACCACAGGGGGGAGTGCCTGGGTGGTACAAGCATTCCCCCTACCGATCTGCAGGGGGATCATGGTGGCTGTTACATGTATCAGCCATTAGGCTGATACATGTAACACTGATCGCAGTGACAGGCTGTCACTGCGATCAGAGCACTCTGAGATTGCAGTGACAGCCTGTCACTGCGATCTCAGAAGGTGCAGATCGTGGTCACTGACCCCAGGGGGACTGCCTGGGGGGCCAGGTAAGTCCCCCGACCGCGATCTGCACAGCAGAAAGCCGCCAGCCACGTGTGTGATCGCAGTGACAGGCTGTCACTGTGATCACAGCGCTGAGAGATCGCAGTGACAGCCTGTCACTGCGATCTCACACAGTGCAGATTGCGGTCACTGACCCCAGGGAGACTGCCTGGGGGGACAGGTATGTCCACCGACCGCGATCTGCACAAGGGTAGCCGCTGGCCACCTGTGTGGCTGACACGTTTAAAAACTGATCGCAGTGACAGCCTGCCACTGCGATCAGATGCTGCAGATCGCGGTCACCGGCCACAGGGGGGGTTGCCTGGGGGGCCAGGCATCCCCCCCGACCGTGATCTGCAGCGGGAGATTAGAGCCGGCCACGTGGGCAGCCTTTATAGCGAGGGCGTACTATTACGCCCGCCGGCGTTTAGAGCCGGCTCCTGCAGGGCGTAATAGTACGCCCTGCGGATTTAAGGGGTTAAACATGACATTGATGTATACGAAAAATTATCAAAAGACCCAACATCTTGTATACAACAAAAACGTATTACCTTCCTACAAAAGGGCTTAAAAGAAAATATCTTAAATAAAAAAGAATTTGATTATTTATTCATTAAAAATCCCAAAATTGTAATTGTTATTGTAATTAAAATTGTTATTGTATTTTTCTTTCTTTATTTCATTATTTATTTTATTATTTCATTCCCCCCATTTTTTTACTTTTTTGTATTTATTAATTTCACCTATCATCTGTTAAAGATGGCGGCCGGACCTCTCTTAAACTACTACTCCCATGCAGCCGTGCGCCGCCATTGTTTTAACTTTTGAGCCGGTCACGTGACCTGCAAACTGCACTTCCTTGTAGTGCCGCGGGTCACGTGACGTGTTCCGATCCCTCCCTTCGGTGCGTGCGTGCCGCCCACCTATGGGACGGCCGCACGAATCATGAGCTCTGGGCTGCCTGACCTTTTGGCAATGCAGGCGCCGGTCACGTGACTCGCGCACTACATTCCCCAAAGTGCCTTGCGAGTCACGTGACGCGCACTAACTACCTTACCTTTTATTTCATGCTACAAACTTCGTTTTTAATAATTTTTATATGTACATAACTATGTAAGTTATTATCTATGTTTACAACTAATTTTTCTTCTCTTTTGATCAGTGAATTTTTAATTTGTACAATGAATAGCTCTGATTGGCTGCTGCTTGATTATGTCATTTTGGCGCCAATTTCAAATGATTGATGTACCTATATATACTCCTTTATTGCCAGGTTTTAATGTTATACCAATTTGATAAAGCCCTAGTGGTGAAACGTGTTATTGGTTTTATTATATTGGATATTTTATATAAATAAATAATTTTGTATTATTATTCCTTTATACAATCTTATTTTATATATCTTTTATTACCCGTTCCTGGCATTTTATTAATCTTAAAGTGGGGATTATACCACCCACGCTATCATTCGAGTGCAGAAAGGCCTGCACTCCACTTGTGAGTATATTTTATTTTATTTTAATCTATGTTTACATCGTGTCATCAGAGAGCACTATTGGTTGTATATATTTTTTCCCTGAGAATTGGATATCATCATGCTTCGGAGGACAAGCATCCACACATCCTACAAGCGGGGATTAATACACTGTATGCTAATTACACCTGAGCTGGCCATAGCTCATTCGAATGCGAGTGTATTATTTATATTTTATTTCATTTTTATCTTATACACTCTACACGATTGGTCCTTTCTCATTGAGTCTTTTATGTCACAACACGATCTACTACAAACAGAGAAGATATTCTACCAGCTGAAACAGCAACTAAGACTATACAATCTCTGATACAATTGGGACTGTTTTATACACATATATTTTTTTTACATTATTTTTATATATACATTTTATATATTATATATTATAAATTATATTTTTGTGTATTTTTATTATTTATTAGTTCTCTTGGCGCAGCCTCTCCTTGCTTTTGTTGTGGTTGTCTATTGTTGTGATTTAGATGATGATCAGATTACATTTTATGACCAATTTGTGCAGAAATCCATATCATTCCAAAGGGTTCACATACTTTTTCTTGCAACTGTATCTATATATATATATATATATAGATACAGTTGCAAGAAAAAGTATGTGAACCCCTTGGGGGCCCTCTTTTTTACAGGCCTACCTCAACGTCGATTTCGGCACACCACACCGACTTGATCCAATAACAAAGTATTTTCACGGTCACTATATTAACCGACCACAAATATATATATATGTGGTGTGCCGAAACCGACGTTGAGGTAGGCCTGTAAAAAAGAGGGCCCCCTGAAGGAAGTGTCTGGTATGAAGAGGGTGGGGTGAACAGCAACGTCACAGCGAAGGTAAGAATGGGGAGTAGCGTTTTATAGGAATGCTTACTCCTCCAACAAATACAGGCCTGCGGCCTTAGACTTGTGGTCGGTTAATATAGTGACCGTGAAATTACTTTTTTATTGGATTAAGTCGGTGTGGTGTGCCAAAACCGACGTAGAGGTAGGCCTGTAAAAAAGAGGGCAAAAGGAAATGCAGGGGGGGGAAAAAAAACACATTTTATTGCTACCATGATTATAATATAAAATTTTTAAATGCTTGTCTTAACTCTTTCTCTGGTTGTGGTATGTAACTAGTGTATATTGCGGATTTCCAACGCCCCAATTTTTTTATGATATGTACTGGAGTATTGATACTGGACGCGGCTGAATGAATGTCCTGAATAAGAGGAAGGGTCCCAACCTAATTTAATACACAGAGTTCTAATGTAGAACATGAATTTGGTAGTAGTTAGGGGATTGCCTAGCAGTGTAAACAGTGAAGAGTGGCTGGGATTGAGGTATTAAATCACTTCGGCATTCTGTTCAAGTTCGTAATGGCTGTTCAAGCCTTGTACTCAGACGTCAGGGCGCAGATCCAGATTTCAGGAGCACGAACCATCCCATTCCATCTGAGTAATGGCACGAGACAAGGATGCCCGCTTTCACCTCTGCTGTTCGTCCTTTCGCTGAAACCCCTCATGCAAACAATACGCGATGCTCCATATGTCAGGGCAGTCACCGTGGGGGGTAAGCAATATGTCATATCGGGTTTCGCTGACGACGTATTGTTGACATTAACGGATCCGAGGGTTTCTATGGCGGCTCTGGCTGGGATTCTGGCGGAATACGGCGAGGTGGCTGGCTATAAAGTCAACTTACACAAATCAAGCGCACTCCCCATAGGTATGAGGGAAAATGAAGTGGCATATATAGGGAGGACTTATCACATACGTATAGCGAAGGACCATATCAAATACTTAGGCATATGGTTGACGGCGGATCCCTCCCAACCATACCAGCAAAATTATGCCCCACTAATTCGACATCTAATAAACGACATGGAGAAGTGGGTAGATAAACCGATCTCGTGGATCGGAAAAATACATTCAGTGAAAATGAATGTGCTACCCAGGATACTATTTCTATTCCAAGCTCTTCCGGTCCAGTTGACTAAATCTAATTTGGGACCGCTTCAACAGGCTATAGGCAAGTTTATCTGGCAGAATAAGAAATACAGGATCTCCCGTAATGTACTTTATAGGGCTAAGGATAGGGGGGACCTTGGCCTTCCAAACCTTTACTTTTACTACGTGGCGGCTCAATTGGCATAAATTGCACTATGGCATTCTCCCCCAGAAGATAGGAGGTGGGTGGATCTGGAATCCTCCCTGATGGGCCCAGACATGCCCCAGTTCCACATGTGGACCCCTAAAGAACATAGACCAATAGAACATAGACCCTTAAAATTTGGGATGCCACCGCCCTTAAATACTGCCTGACATCCGACCCATCGCCCATGACCCCATTCTTAAGAAACAAAGCATTTCTTCCGGGCATGAGTCCCCGGGATTTCAAGGGTATTGAGAACACGGGACTGCAGAGACTGTGCGAACTGTTTGAAAATGGCTCATTTATAACATTTGAAGAACCGACAAGCAGGGCCCCATTACGACCCTTCGACTACTTCCAGTATCTACAGCTTAGGGATTATGCCCGAGACTCCCGGATCAAAACGGCTGCGTTGACACAGTTAACGATTTTCGAAAGGGTGTGCAAGAGGGGACAATTCCCAAGCGGCTTAATTTCATGTTTATATTCTCATCTGAGCACTCACATGCTAGAATGGGGAGATATCACATATATAGATCAGTGGGAAGCAGATCTCAATGAGGTTCTGGAGGGCAAAGAATGGCAGGAAATATGGGAGGCTGCTGCATCATCTTCAGTGTGCATCTCCTTGCAGGAACAATCCTATAAGACCTTATTTCGGTGGTACACCACTCCAGTGACGCTGTACCGAATGCGTAAAAACCCGACGGACCTGTGTTGGAGAGGCTGCGGACGCAAGGGTACGTATATACACATGTGGTGGGAATGCCTGGAGGCACAAACCTATTGGAAACGGATTGCTAGACCCATGGGTGTTTCTGTTGTCCAGATCAGACAAGAACGGGACAAGACCTTATACAAAAAATAAACCTTGTGGGGGCGGAGCCTGACCGCGAGCTGAAATGGCCGCATAGCGCGAAAGCTCCCGCCGACGGGCATACACATTCAGCTACAAACCTAGCCACAATCAGTGCACGGACCCCCAGAGGCGCAGCACATACACCGGAACACCGGTAGGCGCAAGCGGACATTGGGGGGGGGGGGCGGAAAAAACATGAACAGCCGCCATCCGTGGCCCCTCTGTTCCGGCAACCACGAGGCCAGACGCCATCTTCCCCACAACGGAGGGAAGACTCTGCATCCGACTCAGACCGCAGTGAGGCAGCTGGCTCAGCTTCCACACCGCTCACCAAGAGGGACCTGCAACTACTGCTGCAAGAAGCTGCAGCAGATATAAAGAAACACATGGCAGCAGAAATTGGAAAACAGCTGCAACTTCTGAAGGCTGATCTGGCTGACCTGGGGGAGAGGACAGGGCAGGTGGAGCAGAGGGCAGATGATCTCATGGAAAACCTCAATATGCACCAAGCTGAGCTCTCTACACTGAGGAACAAAGTGGAAGAATTAGAGACAGGTATGGAAGACCTAAATAATCGCTCTAGGCGTAACAACATAAGGATTAGGGGCCTCCCCGAAACAGTCACGCCTGACATGCTGCTCTCCACGCTGCGCGAATTGTTACTTACAATCCTTCCAGAAGCAACGCCACAAGACCTCGCCATAGACCGGGCGCACAGAGCCCTCAAACCTCCTAGCCAAAACCAAATGGCGCCCCGAGATGTAATAGTACGCCTTCACTACTTTACTGTTAAAGAAGCCATCATGGCGGCCACATGAAAAACTCCGCCAAAATTTGACGCCATCACTCTTCAGTTTTACCAAGACGTCTCACCTACCACATTAATGAAACGCAGAGAGCTCAAACCCCTAACCAGCGCACTGGCACAAGCCAACATACCATACAGATGGGGACACCCCTTCAAGCTACTAGTCCGCCAACATGAGAGCACACACGTCCTGCAAGATATCTCAAAAATGGCGCCCTTCGCTGCCGCATTGGGCATCAGCTTACCCGATGCACGAGCGCAATCTAGAAAACCAGTGGACAACGCCAGACCACAAAGGATGCCACTCTGGGAAAAACTTCGGACACCCCGGAACCGACCACCCAAGCGCCAGCAGCAGACATCGGTGCAGACTCGCGACCGGGACACCTGAATGGCATGGAACAAGCCCATCATGGACTCACCCACTCACTGGCAGAGACTATCCTAAGAGAGTTAAAGGGACTTCCAAACTGTTTGACCTACTTCTGAGTGCGAGAACGCACACCACCATATACTTTTACGCTGTGTCTGATGGCGCTACTTTAGCCATGGTTCACTAAGGTTTAAGGGGACGCAAAATAGTTATGGGGAGGACACTATAGGGCGCTGAAAAGGGCCTGACACGGGGGGGGAGAAAGGGGGGAAGGACAGGTGCTAGAGCAGCTGGGGACGACGGGGGGGAAAAGGAAAGGAGAGGAGGAAAACATGGGATGGGAAGGATGGGGGGGGGTAAGGGAGAGGTACGTACCATTGGCGACTCTCACTAAATGAGACAGGAAGCCCTGGTGGCTCCCCCGGGAATCGCCAAACTCAACGCAGCTATGTTGGTCCACTGGCACAAACCCACTAGACCCGATGGGGAAGACCCAGAGCGAACCCACCCCGGGGCACTGATTACAGCCCGCCTATGCCCAGAGCGGGAAGCACACGGAGACTGAACTGTGCAATGCACCACTCAGCACAGTACGGGGGTCACGAGATCCAACCAGGTGGGGACGACTCCACACACCCCACTCCATTTGACCTGGCGCACACCATAAGACCAGGCGTTTTTTTTTCTGTTGTATAGGTATTATTTGGTTTTCAATGTTAATCCTAGTTCAATGGTTTGAAATGGTCTCAGCAGGAGGACACATGACGGACACAACATCTCGACACACGGGACACCGTCCACCACTGGGGGGAGGTAATAGCGAACCACGCTCCACCACACAACCATGACTGCTAGTCTGACGTGCATCTCAATCAATTGTAAAGGGCTGAATAACCCCGCTAAGCGACACCGACTCATGAGATGGGCAAACCGCAGTAAAGCTGACATACTCCTACTACAGGAGACACACTATGCAGACACACGGCCTTTCCCTCTCCTGAGCCGTCACTTCCAGGCTTGCTACTTTGCCAACTCCAACTCAGGCAAACACAATGGAGTGACGATTCTCCTAAGGAAAACTTGCCCCCTCCAGATTACCACCACACACAGGGACCCCGACGGCCGCTTCCTTATGGTGGCGGGCTCAATAGGCCCAACCAAATACGCGATCACCTCGGTCTATGGCCCCACAACCCCGGACCCGGGATTCTGGCCTACTCTAAGTGCACATCTCAGCCTACACCCAAACGCCCACCAGATTATAGGCGGGGACTTCAACGCCGTGATTGAACCACAGGCAGATAGACTCAAACGACCACCACAGACTCCAGCACCGACCAGAAACGACAAATTCATGGCAGACTTCATTTCCACTACCAACCTGATAGATGTCTGGAGACTGCAGCACCCCTCCACACTAGACTACACCTTTTATTCCCACCCACACCAAACATACTCACGTATAGACTACTTCCTGGTTTCCCTGTCACTACTTCCGCTCATAACAATGACTTCCATAGGCAACATAACATGGTCCGACCACGCTGAGATAGCACTCACGTTCCAGCCCCCACGAATCTCCAGACCCTGGTCCTGGAGACTTAATCAGACACTACTCAACGACCCTCAAACGGTACAACAAATCACAACAGAACTCAAACATTACTTCGCTACAAACAAGGACACAGTACAATCAAATGCAATCATATGGGCAGCACACAAAACGGTGATCAGGGGTACCCTTATTAGCTTAGCCACAGCGCACAAAAAAAGACGCCTCGCTAACATAGAGAAAATCCTAGCGGCCATCAGGGACCTTGAAGCCCTCCATAAAGTCACCCCCACCCCGGACCTCACCACACAACTCCAACACCAACGACAGGCCCTTCACAATGCAATGGTAGTGGATGCCACCAGGGCTCTACAATGGACACAACAAAAGTTCTACGAAAAATCCAATAAAGCCGACACACTCCTGGCCCGCAGGCTGCGCAAGCGCATCCAGGCCAAGCAGATAACACGCATCCGCACACCATCGGGTCATGACACAGAGGTACCTACCAAAATTGCGGAGGTATTCCAACACTATTTTGCAGACCTATATGACCACTCCCCCCACCATAGGCAACGGACCGACACCCTACAAGACCGTATCCAAATCTTTTTAGACCGAACTCATCTGCCCACACTATCGGATAGCGCAATCACCCAACTCTCCATGGAGATCACAGAACAAGAAGTTGCAACGGCTATAGGGGCCACCAAACCCAACAAAAGCCCAGGACCGGACGGATATCCGGGCTTATATTACAAAACATTCCGGGACACTCTCCTGCCCCACCTTGTACAACTATACAACACCCTGCTGCAGGGAAACCCACTCCCCAAAGATATGCTGCAAGCCAACATTTGCCTTCTACCTAAACCCAACAAACCCCTCTCAGACCCAGGCCACTATCGGCCAATATCCCTATTGAACGTAGATATCAAACTGTTCACGAAAATACTCTCCAATAGGCTGCTACCACATATCACATCACTAATCCACCCGGACCAGGTGGGCTTCATCCCCACTCGCCAAGCTAGCGACAATACCAGGAGGATGCTAGACCTGATCTGGGTGGCTACCCAGCGCTCCATTCCAACGCTACTCCTATCCCTGGACGCCGAAAAGGCGTTTGATAGGTTACTATGGCCATTTCTCTTTGCCACTCTGGAGAAACTCAGATTCCCCAAACCATTTCAAGACGCCCTGCGAATGATTTACTCTAATCCTACTGCCAACCTACTCATACCAAACACGAACCCCCCCTCGTTCGCCATCTACAATGGCACGAGGCAGGGCTGTCCCCTGTCCCCCATCCTGTTCGCCCTCTCACTTGAACCGCTACTGCATCTTATCCGCACCACTCCCCAGATCACAGGCATCAAAATCCGCACACAAACATACAAGGCTGCGGCATACGCTGATGACCTGATGCTGTCACTCACAGATCCGCAGAACGCACTCCCACCTCTCCTCAAACTCATAGACGACTACTCAGAGGTATCGGGATACAAATTAAACTTCGATAAAACTGAAGCACTCATGCTGACCATACCGGACAATCAAAGACAAACGCTACGGACCACATATGCCTTCAATTATAAGGCCTCACACATCTCGTATCTAGGGATCAACCTACCAGCGGAACTACAGCGCACATACACACTTAACTACTCACCGCTGATCCAGAAAATCATAGAAGACCTGCAGAGATGGAGGGACTTGTCTTTGTCGTGGCTGGGACGCCTAGCCTCGGTGAAGATGAACCTCCTACCAAGACTGCTCTTTTTCAAACCCTCCCCATCCCCATACCCACCTCGGACTTCAAATACCTACAGTCACATATCGACAAATTCATCTGGTCGAATAAACGACCGAGAGTGAAAAGGGCGACCATGTACATCCCTAACAGGACGGGAGGCCTGGGCCTTCCCAACTTACAACACTATTACCATGCGGCGCAGGCCACACAGATACATCTACACGCCCCACCGGGAGCGAAGCGCTGGGTGGACCTAGAACACGACATATTTGGCTTCGACCTCCCCTCATTGTACATATGGGTCCCACGGACCTCCCGGCCCCTGCCACCGCCACTACCCCCGACACTAGCTAATTCTATCAGCTCCTGGGATAAGCTTACCCAAAAATTCCCTATCATCAACAACCCATCACCACTGACACCCATACTGCGCAATAAAGCATTTAGCCCAGGAATGAACCCAAAAGATTTCGCTCATTACGAACACAACGACCTTTATAGAATATGCCACTTCTTTGAGGGAGGAAAACTAATGCAATACAAAGACCTTCCCCAACAACACTCACCATACAACACACATGACTTTTTCAGATACATACAACTAAAGAGCTTTTTGGAACTCCCTGAAAATAGGATAGCAGCTACCAACAGATGCACAACATTTGAACGAGCATGCATACATAACCCAGCCCGCAAGGGCCAGATCACTGATAATTATAGCCTGCTCATCTCTACTCATGCCCCAGGAGCGATGGCATATGTGGCGGCTTGGGAGAGGGATCTGGGGCCACCGGGAGACCCGACTGACTGGCAGGACATATGGGAGGCCACAGCATCTATCTCTATATGCGTCAACCACAAAGAGCAGGCCTATAAAACTCTACTACGATGGTATCTAACCCCCGCAAGACTATACCGAATGGGTAGGACCGACTCGGACCTCTGCTGGAAGCGGTGTGGGCAAAGGGGAACATACATACACCAATGGTGGCAATGCCCTAAACTAGCACCGCTTTGGGCGGAGGTGGCCTGCCTGGTATCCAGCTTACTCCACGCAGATATACCCTTAGACCCGTGGATCTGGCTTCTATCCAAACCCTGGGAACCTTTAACCAGAGCCCAAAACAAATTAGCAAACAGAATAGCTCTGGCTACAAGGAGGGCGATAGCGGAACTCTGGGGCTCCCCGGAGGTCCCCATTTTAGCCACAATCATCCGCAAAACCAGGGAAGCCATTGAAATGGACAGAATCTCAGCCCTAGTCCATGAAACGTCAGGCCACTTTCATAAAATTTGGGACCCTTGGCTGAGTGAGCCGGCGCTAAACCCGCCGAACCTGGCTACGCCGCAGGCCCAATAAATGGCCAATAGAGGCATAACGGGGAGGGGAGCTCAGAGGGTGAAACCCATACGCATGACAAACAGGGGAGTACCCATAGGGGACCATAACCGCAACTCAAGGGGGCCAATCCACAACAGACTCCAGCAGTCTCCCAAAACCATAGCGCAGAAACACTAAACCCTCCCGCGAGCATAACACCCAACCACTGAGACCAAAAGTTGTTTATGTTTTTACTTGATTGTGTATATTTGTGTAATTTTGTATTTTTGTACCATTGTGCGACCTATCAACACCCAACTAATGCAACAGCAAAGCTGGAAACTAGCTAGACAAATTGTCTACTCACATAACAATGTCAAACATGTTATATCATAAGACAAATGTTTACACCATGGTTGCAAAATGCTTCTGAACAGGTGAAAATAAATAAATAAAGAATGTTTAAAAAAAAAAAACCTTGCAGCTAGAAGAGCCCTAGCACAGGTGTGGCTACAGAGGGAGACCCCAACAATGGCGATGGTAAAACAAAAAATAAAAGATACTTTCCTAATGGACAAGCTGACAGCACAGGTCAGGTAGACAATGAAGAAATTTGATAAGATCTGGAGCCCCTGGACAAATAGCACTGTAAGCGATTAGAGAAAGGCAGACTGAATTAGAACATCTAAACATACCTCTTGGACCGGGCTCGCAGGGAGGGATTTTTGCGGACCCCCGTGGGCGACAGGGTTGGAAGGGAAGCACATTCCCTAAGACGCCTTTCAATAGGGCGGCTCTCCTCGGACTCCCCCCCACCCCTCTACCCCCTTCTCTGTGACCTCGGATTTTCGAGACTTCCTCTATTTTTTCCTTTTCTTTCATCTCTTAATTCCTTAATCTTATTGTCCGACCGTATATAGTGGAAATACACGTGCGTGACAATAGAGACATGGCAGCAAACGTACGCTCGTATACTATTCCTAGTTGTTTTTTGTTTTTTTTTGCAAACGTGTGCGGTCGTCATATATCATATGTTATCTGTTACATGTTTTATCTACTATTTAAAACCAGACGGGATATCTAACCATACATAGAGATGAGAACTACCTTGAAAATTAGAGACGTAAATACAACTAGTGGTCTCTAGTTATAGGATCTATGCGACCTTGACTGTTCACCCATCTTGCTAATGAAAAAATGTCATGATCACAGTGTACATGCTTGTTTATGCATAATCCTATGTTGCTGTAAATATACTGCTTGTGATGTCTCGTCTTGGAATAAATAAAGAATAATAAAAAAAAAAAAAGAAGTCATCTAGATAGTGTAAAACCATGGGGCACCTAATAATGTTGAGGAGAAGCCAGCAGAGTGTCTCAGCAAACGTGTCGAATATTTGGGGGCTACTTTTTGCCCCGAAAGTAAAACTGGTAGCAAAGTAATATTTCTCTCTCCACTTAACCCTGTGAACATGCCATAAAGAGGGATGGATAGGTAGCAAATTGAAGGCATTGGAGATATTGGTCTTGCTGAGCCATGGAGCTTTACCAGCCTTCAAGATTGCATGTATAGCATTATCCACGGTGGTATAGTGTAGAGAGAATTCTGTGGATGGTATGAGGGAGTTTAAGCTTGGGTTTGTGGATGAATGAGGAGTAGACAGACCAACGATAAGACGTTTTTTATTAGTGTATTTGCTGGTAGCTATACCGATTGGATTTGTGCGTCAGGAGGTGAAGGGGGGGATCTTCCCAATAAGATCGTCTACTATATGTGGTTCATGAATAGTGGATAGGAGGTAGGGACATTCTAAGGTATCTACAGGGAGTGACACAAGCCCAGTTTGGAACCCTTGTGAAAACCCGTGTATTAAGTATTCTATCAAGTGAGGAGACGGCTGTGACTTCAAGTAGAACGCCAAATTACTTATATTCACCTCAGTTAGTCATTGTTTTGAGTTCAACTCGGACGGGCACATGGTTTTAGCGTGAGCCATAAAGCATATGGAGCACACGTGCAGTGATCTGCAGGCTGAAACTGCCAACTCCTGCATTAAAGTTATTACAGACTTGTGCTTTGCCTAGGTAGACTATGGGACGTCCGAGCTTTTCTTTTAAGCTGCGCTGGTCAGGCTTGTTAGCCCCACCTGATTGGTTTGAGTATGAGGGGGATCAGCTTCTGAGGGTCACAAACTGGTGGTATGGGAAGTGGATGAGCAGACAACACAAGACGGGGGTTCCAGGCCTGCAAAAGAATTCTGTGTCCAACAGGCTCCAGTCAGTACAGATGTTAAACTGGGCCAGGGTTGCCTCTGTTTTTGCAGACACAAACTTGTGGAAGTAGTATAACATAAAACCCCCGTACTTGTGGCCCAAGTCCACCACTTTGTGTAAGTATAAATCTAGTTCTTTCCGGCGTTGTGGATCAACAGAGCACTCAACATCTCTGTAAATGCCAAAGGCTAGGACAATCTCGGGTATGGTTAATTTTTTTTGTTGAGACGTGGGTCTCTAGCCTTCATAACGACAGCAGAACTGCCGTAATTGTATGTTCTATTTTCCACAACGTCTTGGGAAGCAATTAGCAATGAGACCAGATTAACATCTTTACCTTCTAAAATATCCTTACGGAGAGCTGGGGGGACCATGTGTGCTGGGGTAATTACGTGAGTGGAGGGGGTGAAAGGTGAGGCAGGGGGCCTACCCTGTAAGTTATAAGGTGTGATTGCTTGTGCGGGTCCTATGGGAGGAGGATCTACGCGAGCCGGGCTGGCATTCTCCAATTTGGTAAGTCTATTGTTAATAGACTGAAGGGAGTATGTTTTCCTGGCACTATAGTATGTTTTACTATAGTGGTCCTTTAACATTTAAGACCTGATATTAATCCCTCTCTCACTTATGATATAGCAGTATTGTACAATTGATAAGTTCAATGTAATGGATAATTAAGAACTGTGACTTAGCATACTGACATAAGCAACTTCTAATTATAATTAGTTGAGACCCCCGCCTAAACAGTAGACATGTACATTTATTGGGTGGTACATATCTACAAGTATATGGGTGGTCAAAAGTCTGGCAATAACTTCTAAATTCTGCAATTACACTGTATACTACCATTCCCTAAGCGTAGTACAGTGCACAAATTGTTAAATGAATGGACCTGATATAGCAAGTCTGAAAGTCATTCGTTTGTTTGTTCAGATGGATATTGAAACATGTATCAAATCGTATATGCGAACAGCGGGAATAGCCCAAACACGGCTATTCTCGCCGATTACTTGGTCGTTCGTATGTTTTCGTGAAGGAGCTAAAAGTGGTTCAAGTGAATTTTTCCCCTAACGGAGGACGCTGATCTGGCGGGAAGTACGAACAGCGGCCAGAAACCAGAAATGCGGGCTGATGAGGAGTCACAAGCAGACCAAGAGTGAACAGCAACGTCACGGCAAAGGTAAGAAGGGGGAGTAGTGTTTTATAGGAACACTAACTCCACCCACAAATGTAGCCTTATACATTATGTGACAAACTTACTTTCCTGTGTGTGTTTGTCCAGGATCTTTTGGCAACCGCACAGCCCTCTAGGGTAAGAAAACCAGGTCAAGACAAAGTCCAGTTTCAAAAAGGCCTCTGGCCTGTTTATTTTCTGTTGTTGTGAAGTAACAGGATACAATGAATCAGCAAATCTTCTTTCTCCACAAAACACCTTCTTTCTCCTCCAAAACACTTCCCTCACTTCACCCTGCTTTAACTGCAGTTATATTGCTGCTCACAGCCCCTACAGGTGAGGCTAATGACCTCGTTAGGCAGTGAGCCAGAACTCTATGGGAAACCTGGGCTGGACTCATGCACAACCACTCTGACAGTGGGTGGAGAATCGGCCCACCCTGCTCTTCCGAATACTCCACCCCAGGGACCCAAATAACAAGAGGAAAAAAAAACTAAATTTAAACTTAACTTTCCCTGGGGCTGCATGTGCTTACCCACATGTCAGGATAGTGGCTGTGCAAAAGTCTGGGTGCCAGATATACACCCCTGACCACCATCCCCAACACTCTGTTACATATCCTCCCCCCCAGCTCAGACCTAGTGGGGTGAGCGACCACAGAAAACAAATTTTCTCGCGACAAACTGTCAGCATTTCCATGTTTAGACCCCGGCCTATGTTCAACTGTAAAATGAAATGGTTGTAAACTGAGGAACCACCTTGTCACCCTGGCATTATTATCTTTGTTTTGACTCATCCAGGTTAAGGGGGCATGGTCTGTGACCAACCTAAATTTTCTACCCAGCAGATAATATTTCAATGAGTCTAAGGCCCATTTTATGGCAAGGCATTCCTTTTCCACTATAGAATAATTTTTCTCAGCGGGAGTCAGCTTCCTACTTAAATAAAACACTGGGTGTTCTTCACCCTGAATTTCCTGAGACAGAACTGCCCCTAACCCAAGCTCTGATGCATCGGTTTGGACAATAAACTCTTTAGTGAAATCCGGGGTTACCAGAACCGGTTGGGTGCACAAAGCCTCTTTCAAAGTTACAAACGATTTTTCTGCCTCTACTGACCACTTAACCACTAGTGGGGCTTTACCTTTTGTGAGATCCGTTAAAGGAGCTGCTAATGTAGCAAAACTAGGAATAAATCGCCTGTAATACCCAATAAGTCCTAAAAAAGTCCTAACTTGCTTTTTAGTGAGGGGGCGTGGCCAATTTTGTATGGCCTCCACTTTTGCTGTTTGGGGCTTAACTAGTCCTCTCCCAATCGAATAACCCAGATATTTTGCCTCTTCCAAACCTATAGTACACTTAGATGGGTTAGCAGTTAAACCAGCTAGGCGGATAGAGTCCAGTACTGCCTGCACTTTGGGAAGATGTGAAGCCCAGTCAGGACTGTGAATGACTATGTCATCTAGGTATGCGGCTGCATAACGGCTGTGAGGCTTCAAAATCCTATCAATCAGTCTTTGAAAAGTGGCAGGGGCCCCATGTAACCCAAATGGTAGCACCTTGTATTGGAATAATCCCCCTGATGTCGAAAAAGCTGTCTTTTCTTTTGCTCTGTCTGTAAGAGGTACTTGCCAATAACCCTTCGTCAGGTCTAAAGTAGTCAGGTACCGAGCCTTACCCAGTCTCTCTATCAGTTCATCAACCCTAGGCATTGGATAAGCATCAAACTTTGACACACTATTTAATTTACGAAAATCATTACAAAATCTTAACGAACCATCAGGTTTTGGCACCAGTACTATAGGGCTGTTCCACTCACTTTGTGATTCCTCAATAATATCAAGAGCTAACATTTTCTTAATTTCTGCAGCTACCGCCTCTTTCTGTGCTTCTGGGATTCTGTACGGTTTAAGACTTATCTTCACCCCTGGTTCTGTAACAATATCATGCTTGATAACGTTAGTCCTGCCAGGAACTACAGAAAATACATCCCGGTTTCTACCAATAAAGTCCCTTACTTCCTGTTTCTGGTGTGGGGACAGGGTGTCTGGTATGTTTACTTCAAGTTCACTACCAGTCTTATTAGTGATAATTGAAGTAGTTAAGACCTCTCTGTCCTTCCAGGGTTTTAGTAAATTTATATGATATATTTGCTCGGGTTTTCTCCTATTGGGTTGTCTCACTTTATAATTAACTTCCCCAACCTGTTCAATAACCTCATACGGGCCATGCCAAGATGCTAGAAATTTATTTTCTACTGTAGGGACCAAAACAAGCACCCTGTCTCCTGGGTGAAAAACTCTCAGTCTGGCATTTTTATTATAACTGTTTTTCTGGGCCTCTTGGGCTTTCTGCATATGTTCTTTAACTATTGGCATGACAGCCGCCATCCTATCTTGCATTTGAGCTATGTGCTCAATTACACTACGGTACGGATTGGACTCCTGTTCCCAGGTTTCTTTTGCTATATCTAGCAGACCTCTGGGATGATGGGCATATAGAAGCTCAAAAGGAGAGAACCCCGTAGAAGCTTGTGGCACCTCCCTTATGGAGAACATTAGATAGGGTAGTAAGCAGTCCCAATTCTTACCATCTTTGTCAATTACTTTCCGTAACATACTTTTTAAGGTCTTGTTAAACCGTTCTACCAGTCCGTCTGTCTGGGGATGGTAAACAGAGGTCCTAAGATGTTTAATTTGAAGTAGTTTGCATAACTCCTTTGTAACTTTAGACATAAATGGTGTACCCTGATCTGTCAAAATTTCTTTTGGTATGCCCACCCGGCTAAACAGGAGCATGAGTTCTCTCGCTATTGTCTTTGCAGACGTGTTACGTAGGGGTACTGCTTCCGGGTACTTGGTAGCATAGTCCAGGATCACCAATATATACTGATGCCCCCTTGCAGACTTTACCAGAGGACCTACCAAGTCCATTGCAATCCTTTCAAAAGGTATTTCTATTATAGGCAATGGTACCAGAGGACTGCGGTATGCCTTAAAAGGGGCGGTGTGTTGGCATTCAGGACAAGAAGAACAATAATTCGCAACTGAAGCAAATACCCCAGGCCAATAAAACCTCTGTAAGACTCTTTCTTTTGTCTTTTCTATGCCTAAATGTCCCCCCAGTATATGGCTGTGTGCAAGATTTAGGACTGTATGTCTGAAAGGCTTAGGAACAAGTAGTTGTTTTACAACATCCACCCCCTTTTTCTCTACTCTATATATCAGATCATTCTGTACCTCAAAGTAAGGAAAAGAAGGGGCTCTATCTAGTTGTACTGGATCATCAGTTGAAACCTGGATATTTTTACGGGCCTCTGCAAGAGTGGGGTCTTCCCATTGCGCTTTCCTGAAGTTAACAGGACTGACTTCTAATTCAGGGAAGTTAATGCCTTGATCCTGATCGTTATCAGACTCCTGACTATCGTGGCCCTGGTCATCTCCTACTAAAGCTGGCCTGTGACTTGAGGCTTCAGCCTTCTCTGGTCTTATGCCCAGTCCTTCCCATTCTATGTCAGAAAAAGGGAACACATTTCCAGAATCATCATCATTTGTTATACAATCATGAGCTACTTTTCCTGGAGACCCCCACAAGTCTAAAAATTGGGGGAAATCCCTTCCCAACACCACATCATAAGCCAATTTGTCCACTACCCCCACTCTATGATTCACAGTACCAAAAAGGCTTTCAAATTTTAGCAAAACTGTAGGATATTCACGTTTGTCACCATGAACACAAATTATACCAATTTTCTGCAATGCATCAACATCGGCTTCAGGTACAAGGCATTTTGCTATCAATGTCGCCATACTTCCGGAGTCTAATAGAGCTCTAACCTCTTTCCCATTCACCCTTATGGAACATATCTGTGGATTGTGACAACAGTTGGCAACAGCAGATTCCATACAATTCAGCAAACAAGACAATTGTACATCCTGATTAATCATATTGCATTGCATAGGTTCATCAATCAAGGGACAGTCTCTAGCTTTATGTCCAGGTTCATTACACCGGAAGCATTTAATATCGTCAACTGTCCCCCACCTAGACCCTTTTCCAGGATTAACATTTCTAGGCAAAAGCATATGGGGTCTCTGAGAATATGTCTCTTGTTCCTCTGTGTCTCTGAAACCTTGAAAATTCTTACCAGGTCTTTCAGCATCTGGAGTCTTAACTCTCTGCTTAGCCTTTGTGTTGTTGAGCCACTGTCTGTCATCTGCAGCAACATATCTTTCCACCAAACCAATTAACTCATCAGCTGTTTGTGGATCGCTCTGACTGACCCATCGACGCAGTGAAGCAGGCAAGCCCCGCAGGAATCTGTCCATCACAAGAAGTTCCATGATATGGCTTGCCGTATTTATTTCTGGTTGTAACCACTTTCTAGCAAGATGTATCAGGTCAAACATCTGGGAACGGATAGGTTTCTCTTGGTTGAAAGACCAGGCATGAAATCTTTGGGCACGAACTGCCCTAGTCACACCAAGTCGTGCAAGGATCTCAGCCTTCAGTTTGGAGTAGACCCCTGCCTGTGCTGGTTCCAGGTCATAGAATGCCTTCTGGGGTTCTCCAATAAGAAAAGGTGCCAGTATGCTTGCCCACTCACTCACCGGCCACTCTTCTCTCTCAGCTGTCCTCTCAAAAGCTAGCAGGTATGCTTCCACATCATCTGTAGGTGTCATCTTCTGCAGGTAACGGCTGGCTCTGATCAGTTTAACCTCGGACTGCGTCCCATCCGAGACTCTGGTCAGTCCTTTGGTCAAAGCCTGAATCTCCTTCTGTATCATACTGGTGGCCTGATGTTGCTCCTCTCTGAGCAGGCGGTTTGCCTCAGCTTGGGCTGACATAACCTGCTGGATCAACGCATCTGTGTTGGCCTTTTGCGTAATTACCAGTTGCTGTAGGGCTGTAATATTTTCCTGTTGTGCAGCTGTAGCCTCCTGCTGTACGGCTGTAGCCTTTTGCTGTGCAGCTGTAGTTTGCAACAAGACTTTCACAACTTCCTCCATATTTCTACAGGCTTGTTTGGCTTCCAGTTAATACCCACAGGCTTCTTTTTAGTGCAGTGCCCGCATTCTCCACCATATGTGACAAACTTACTTTCCTGTGTGTGTTTGTCCAGGATCTTTTGGCAACCGCACAGCCCTCTAGGGTAAGAAAACCAGGTCAAGACAAAGTCCAGTTTCAAAAAGGCCTCTGGCCTGTTTATTTTCTGTTGTTGTGAAGTAACAGGATACAATGAATCAGCAAATCTTCTTTCTCCACAAAACACCTTCTTTCTCCTCCAAAACACTTCCCTCACTTCACCCTGCTTTAACTGCAGTTATATAGCTGCTCACAGCCCCTACAGGTGAGGCTAATGACCTCGTTAGGCAGTGAGCCAGAACTCTATGGGAAACCTGGGCTGGACTCATGCACAACCACTCTGACAGTGGGTGGAGAATCGGCCCACCCTGCTCTTCCGAATACTCCACCCCAGGGACCCAAATAACAAGAGGAAAAAAAA